CACACCCCACACACACACAACATTGCTGCAGCCTGCAGTGCATCACACAAAGATTCACGCATCTGCACAACCACTTCAGGACTTGCACAGTTCTGCTGAACCTGTACCTTCCCATAGCGCATGTTACCTTGTCCTTAGAACAAAGTGAGATTGTGTTTCATTAAACGACAAAGTACAGTTTACCTTGGGTTACATATGCTTCAGGTTACACACTCCACTAAGCCAGAAATAGTGCTTCAGGTTAAGAACTTTGCTTCAGGATAAGAATAGAAATGGGGCTCCGGCGGCGCGGTGGCAGCAGGAGGCCCCATTAGCTGAAGTGGTGCTTCAGGTTAAGAACAGTTTCAGGTTAAGAACGGACCTCCAGAACGAATTAAGTACTTAAGTACTCCAAACCGTCTTCAGAGGCATCCCTGCTTATAACGCATTGTATAATCTAACCTAGAGGTTACCAGAGCATAGACAACAGTAGCTGGGCTGTCCCTGTCCAAATAGGGGCATAGCTGGGCCACCAGACAAAGCCACCAGAGCCTCAAGTGACAGCAAAGGGAAAGAAACTTCTATGCAGTAGCTTAATTCAGTGAATGATGTGATGTGTAATTTGGCCCCACCTCTTCGGGTAAATTAAGAATGAACGGTGATAAAGTAAAGGAATTGAGATGGAATAGCTTCTTGAATGTAAGAACCTGAGATGCCCTGAGAATGAATCTTTGAATGTTTATTTAATTTAGAATATAGGTGTGTAGATACGAAAACCAGTCTTTGAAAGACTAAACGCCCACATTCTTATATATTATATGAGACCAAATGTCTGGTTGTTTTTCTTTTAGGATTAGCTCCTGCTTCTTGTATTGTGACAAGATGTTGGGCTTGTTTGCACAAGGCCTTTGCCGAGGCCAAATAACATGGTAGCACATTATCCAATTATGTTTTTAAAAAAACTCAGTACAACAGTGTTGGGGGCGCTTGTTGTTGTTTTTAAAATGAAACCTTCCAAATGACAGAAGTGTGGGGGTGTGTTTATATTTCTTCCACTACATAGTTCATAGTTTTCTATTGTGAAGACTCCAACAGCAACTGTATTTTAACATGGTCAGCATGGTTGCAACCCATTAATATAATAGTCATTCTGGAAATGAGCCTTCATAGAAAATCTGTCTGCCTTCTGAAGACTTCCAGGAGTGCTTGAAATTGTAAAATGTACCGTATTTTTCGCACCATAGGACGCACTTTTTCCCCTCCAAAAATGAAGGGGAAATGTGTGTGCGTCCTATGGTGCGAATGCAGGCTTTCGCTGAAGCCTGGAGAGTGAGAGGGGTCGGTGCGCACCAACCCCTCACGCTCTCCAGGCTTCGCACACCTCTCCGCAAGCAGCGGGAGCCCAGCGCTGGGCTCCCGCTGCTTGCGGAGAGTTGCCTGCAGGCCGAAGCCTGCGCGCCGCTGAGATCAGCGCGTCCAGGCTTTGCGGACCCCCCCACAAGCAGCGGGAGCGCTCCCACTGCTTGCGGAGAGTTGCCTGCATGCCGAAGCCTGCACGCGCTGAGATCAGCGCGTCCAGGCTTCGCGGACCTCCCCGCAAGCAGCGGGAGCGCTCCCGCTGCTTGCAGAGAGTTGCCGGCATGCCGAAGCCTGCACGCACTGAGATCAGTGCGTCCAGGCTTCGCAGACCTCTCCACAAGCAGCGGGAGCCAGCGCTGGGCTCCCACGGCTTGCAGAGAGCTGCCTGTTTGGGGGCTGGGGTCAGGGGAAGCTCGAGCTTCCCCCGCCCCAGCCCCGCGCCTGGGGGGGAAATAATTTTTTTCCCTTTATTTCCCCCCAAAAAAAACTGGGTGCGCCCTATGGTCCGGTGCGCCCTATGGTGCGAAAAATACAGTAGCTGAAGGTTGTGGGAACTTCTAAACTGAAGTTAATTTAGAGCAGCGGTTCTCAACCTGTGGGTCCCCAGATGTTGTTGGACTACAAACTCCCATCATCCCTGAGCTCTGGCCTTGCTAGCTAGGATGATGGGAGTTGTAGTCCAACAACATCTGGGGACCACAGGTTGAGAACGGCTGATTTAGAGGGAATCTAATATAGAGAGAATTGTTTTTCACAGAATCAGAGAACTGTAAAGTCGGAAGGGACCCTAAAGTTAATCTAGTCCAGGGTTTCCCAAACTTTGGTCTCCAGCTACTTTTGGACTACAATTCCCATCATCCTTGACCACTGCTCTTGCTAGCTAGGGATGATGGGAGTTGTAGCCCAAGTTTGGGAAACTCCAATCTAGTCCAACACCCTGCAATGCTTGAATCACAGCTAAAGAATCTCTGGCCATCCAACCGCTGTTTAAAAACCTCCAGCACTTTATGAGGTAGTGTGTTCCTCTGTTAAACAGCTCTTGCCCTCAGAAAGTTCTTCGTAATGTTTAGGTGAAATCTTCCTTTCCTGTAATTTGAGTCTATTGGTTCAAGTCCTACCACCCCACCCCACCCAGAACAGAGCAGTACTATTACAGTTGAGATGTATTGACCTTGTCATTGGATGATAGTATTAGATATGCTAAGGACTTCAGCCCTTGTGCTCACAGGCAGAGAGCATTGAATCTGGGCCACATACAATAAATGCTATCTATCATCTATCTATCTATCTATCTATCTATCTATCTATCATCTATCTATCTATCTATCTATCTATCTATATCTATCTAATGCTATCTATCATCTATCTATCTATCTATCTATCTATCATCTATCTCCAGAGGGTGGAAAGAAGGGAAACTCCAAAATCGCAACTACAGTGGACGCTCGGGTTGCGAATGTGATCCGTGCGGGAGGCACGTTCGCAAACCGCAGCATTTGCAAACCGCAGCAGTGCATCTGCGCATGCGTGGGTTGCGATTCAGCGCTTCTGCGCATGCGCAACCGCCGAAACCCGGAAGTAACCCGTTCCGGTACTTCCGGGTTTCGGTGCGTCCGTAACCCAAAAAAAACAACCTGAAGCACCTGTAACCCAAGGTATGACTATATTGAAAACTTTTTTTCCTTCCAAGAAGGGAAGGAAGCAAGAAGCCATTAGTGCCGCAACAATTCATACCTTGAAAGAACATTGGGCCCAATGATACATTAGGAAATGAAAACTGTGTTTCCTTGCTGGAATGTTTCTAATTTTAATTCATTAATTCAGGCAGTTTACTAAGGTAATATTAATGGCAAGCTTACAGGCACATTATATAAATTGCTGTTCTTCCATGACAGTCTTTATAATAAATAATTCTGAAATATTTTCTGTTATTCTGTTCTGTATGCGGCTTCCCATATTTGGGCCATTTTTCATAATCTGCAGCCCCGGCGAATCTTTACGCCAGCCAGCATTAATCATGCCACAACCCTTATTTTGCACATGCCCCGTGCGGCAATTCCGATTGATTCCAATCTTAATCACCATCGTTTCCTCTCCCCTGCAGCCAGCTCGCCGCTCAAGAAACGGTTCAAGCGCTGTGAGATCGAAGCGATCCAATGCGAGGTGCGCAAGATGTGCAACTACAACAAGATCCTCTCCACCAAGAAGAACCTGGATCACGTCAACAAGATCCTGAAAGCCAAGCGGCTGCAGAGACAATCAAAGACGGGCAACAACTTTGTCAAGAAGAGGCGAGGGCGGCCACGCAAGCAGCCCCTCTCCTTCGACGAAGACTTCAGAGACCAAATGCCAGTTTTGGAGAAATGCGTCGACCTGCCTTGCAAACGAGGCCAGAGGTTCGCGCTGAACCCTTTGATACTGGAACAAACAGCCAACAGCCACGATACCATCGCAGCCACCATTGAGGCTGTAATACACATGGCCCGGGAGACGTCTCAGCCGCCCCCTCCACCGCCGCCGCCTCCTCCTCCTTCCCGGACGCCGAAAGTCGGGAAGAGGAAAAGCAAAGCGCAGCAGCACGCGGAGGCAGAGGACGAAGTGAAGGTGAAAAGGCACCGGAAAACGAGAGGGTGTGAAAGCGAAGCCCTCCCCTAGTAACCGACGTGGCCAATCGAAAGACAGTGCTGGGTGGTTTAGCACCCTGGGACCAAAGGACCAGGGTGCTGAGATGGGCAGGTCTGTTTGGCATCTTTCGCAGCATCAGACTTGCTCTGTATTTCAGTAGCGCAGCAGCCGTTAAAAAAATTCAGATAGGAATGACCAATAATAATAATATAATTACAATAATGACAAAACTTTGGCATTAGCCCTTAGGTTCATAGTGGGGGATGGGGTGCGCTGGGGGAGACGTCCACCGGTTTTTGCAGAGTTTCTGTTAACAAAAACCAGCTTTGTCGTTCTCGTGTCTTGGAAGGGAAAGAGGGAAGCACGGCGGGACTGGCAATATCCCTGCTGCTAGGATGGCCAGCAAGCTCTTTTAGTAGGAGCTCCTCTGCCCCCTTTTTGCAGATGCATCGCAGGGAGAAATTCACCACCAGCAGCAGCCTTTGCAGTCACTGCTGCTGCGCGAAGGGGCGTGGGGGGATTGCACCCATCAGATTTCTTCATGCCACCTTTTAAGGCACAAGGGCATCCCTCTGTCAAGGAACAAAGCTGGCAACCCTCCGAGTGGAAATTACGTTCACTTTTCAACAAAAAAAGTGTAAATTCCTCAACTGTGCTCTTGGTTTTAAACTGCTTTGAAAGTATTTGTATTTTGTTTTATAGAGGTTTTGGGGTGTGGTTTTCTTCCTTTCTTTCTAGAAACTCTTGCCAGGCTCCAGGCAACTGAAACGCTAACTCTTAAATCTTATCGTTTCCCTTCTCCCTCCCCGCACAAAATAATTTGCAAGTGGCAAGTAATATAGGCGAGAGAAGTGGAGCCCCTACCCTCCTGAACAAGAGGAATCTCCAGTCACCATCCAAAATTGTAACCGAATAGCGGAGCGCATCTCATAAAGGGGAGGGGAAAAGCCAATTTGTCACTAACATGGTCTTCGCACTTGACCTCTTTGGTGGTTTTCACTGGTGATGGAAGCGAGAGGACACCAATAAGCTACTTTAGTTTGACAGGAGATCAAGGCTTGGGATATGTTAGCAAAGAACAGAAGGAATGAAGGGGCAATGTTACTAGAGCAAGGGCTCTAGGATGGATACGAGCCTGTGAAAAATTTGCTGCCCAAGGGGAACTTGGAGGAAACTTTTGCAAGATCTCATCAGAGCAGTGTAGTGTGATGCCTTGACTTGTTTTTCCATAATGAAAACAATAAAAGTCGTTTTTAAAATAATAATAATTCACATAGAATGAAGCCAGAGAAAGAAATATGTCATGTCACTAAAATTAAAATAATAAAAAGGAATAAGTGTTCTTATCTAAAATTATAATAATCTTATTGTTCAAAGGGTGTCACCACTGCTGTTGAGTTAATGCCACTTTGAACACTTCCCTCAACCCCTGTTGTGGTTGCCTTAATAAACTGAAAAGTTTTTTTTCTTTTGTACATAATGTAATTATAAAAGAAAAAAGAAAGGAGGAAAATCAGTTTGCATGGACACAAACTGTGTGTGACAAATTGTCTCTTTAAATCATCAGTTTCATTTGTCCGGTTAAAATTCAAAGTGTAATTTTATCCACTTTTTAAGCTTAGATATACATATCTATATCTCAAGCAAGTTTCCATACCAAATCAAGTAACTCTTTATTTGTTATTTTTTTGCTTTAAGCAAAGCTGTTCGGACTAAACACAAATGTTGAAAATGCTATTTCATTGCAGTAATAGTACTTTCTTTTTAAAAGAAAAGAAAGAAATGAAAGCTGTTGAAATATTTAAAACCAGTACCTGACAAATTCCTTTCCTCTCCTCCATTACTTTCTCTTAAGTCGAGGTGCTCTCAGAAGTTCATACTGGAGAAACATGGAGAACTTGACCCAAGCCAATTTTTGAGTCTGGTAACTGATATCTAGGAGGCAAAATTATAATAACCAGAACACTTACATTAAAAACGAACAAAATCCTTACCCCTTTCCCCGGCCCTAAAACCTATTTGAATCTTTCCCATGACTTACTTGCAAATTGCCATCAAGACAGCTTCCCGTGAAACCCTCCATCGGGTGCATCAGCCTCTACGAAATCTGGGTCTCCCCGTAACTGTGAAAAAATGTACACATGTACATGTGATGGAGCCTGGCACAAACATTGAAAAGAATGAGGCACTTCATCTTCACAGGACCCTCCTCTGTGCTCATTTTGAATAGTATTTGGGTACCAGAAACATACAGGATTAAGCCATTGAGCAACACGCCACACATATTCAGTAAGAATGATTGTGGGGTGTTCAGGAGTCAGGCCTGCCAGGTTGCACCAATAGGCTTCCTCTCATTTGTAAGACCCTTTTCAAGTATCAAAGCCACCCTAGAGGGGTCTGTCCCCATGTTGCTCCAGTAATTTATGGCTGTTTCTCCTCCCGCCACTTCCGATTTGGCCTTGTACCCATCTGCTTCTAGCTGTCCACACTCTTTGTCATTAACGTTAAGTAAGTTGGAGTTTTTGTTATTAAATATACCAAGAAAAAAGCACACCAAGAACTCTGGCCAATATAAGTTTCAGTAGTGGGAGTGGTCCCTACTCTCAAATCAATAGTCAATTGTAACAAAAACTAATCCATTGAAAAGTACAGTGGTACCTCGCAAGACGAATGCCTCGCAAGACAAAAAACTCGCTAGACGAAAGGGTTTTTTGAGCTGCTTTGCAAGACGATTTTCCCTATGGGCTTGCTTCGCAAGACGGAAACGTCTTGCAAGTTTGTTTCCTTTTTCGCAACACCGTTAATACAGTTGCGACTTGACTTCGAGGAGCAACTCATAGCACGCGGTGTGGTAGCCTTTTTTAAGGTTTTTTAAGACTTTGGTGATTTTTGAAGCTTTTCCAAAACTTTCCCGACACCGTGCTTCGCAAGACGAAAAAAATCGCAAGACGACAAAACTCGTGGAACAAATTAATTTCGTCTTGCGAGGCACCACTGTATGTATTCTGACAAGGATTACAAACTCAAATAGAGATTACAAACTCAAACCCAAAAGGATATGTATAACACAATGATTTGTTACAGTATGAGAGATCAGAGTTTATGAATAGAGATAAGTTCATGTTAGTCCATTGTCAGATTTGACATGAAGATCTTAGTTTCAATCCTTGTTTGTAATCCTTCTCAGAATACATACTTTTGAATGGATTAGTTTATGTTACAATTGACTATTGATTTGCACGTATGGACCACTCCCACTATTGAAACTTATATTGGCCAGAGTTCTTGGTGCACCCTCATTGTCATGGCAGCTTCTCTGTCATTCGGACTGGCTTGACCATCCCTTCTCCACCCAGTTGCCATTCTGCCATGATGTATAAAACTCTTAGGCAAAGACCATGCAAGAATGCCTGGGTGACGGTGGGCATTTTGCCAAATCCCATAGGTATTTTTGTTATTCCTTTCCTTCCTTCCTTCCTCACGGGGATTAGTGCTTTGCCAATTGCAATTCCCTACACTGCCATGCACCCCAAAGCAAGTGTGTGCTTTTTGTAATGTGAGAATGGGGAGACAAGGGCGGATCTGGTTCTCCAAATGTGGAGAAGGCATCCTTTCATGTCCAGATCATGGCAGACAGTTACAGCGCCCCTCACTCCATTCGTGTGTGTCTTGTTTTACGGCAAGCCCACACAAGTTCTGACTCACCAATCCGAATGCGGGCCAACAGCCATGTACTTACCACACAGCGCTGAAGAAAGCAGCAGCAGTTGCTTTATCAAGCTCTTGCCAGACAGGCCGTCATGGTGTTGTTGTTTAGTCGTTTCCGACTCTTCGTGACCCTATGGACCAGAGCACTCCAGGCACTTCTGTCTTCCACTGCCTCCCGCAGTTTGGTCAAACTCATGCTGGTAGCTTCGGGAACACTATCCAACCATCTCGTCCTCTGTCATCCCCTTCTCCTTGTACCCTCCATCTTTCCCAGCATCAGGGTCTTTTCCAGGGAGTCTTCTCTTCTCATGAGGTGTCCAAAGTACTGGAGCCTCAGCTTCAGGATCTGTCCTTCCAGTGAGCACTCAGTGCTGATTTCCTTCAGAATGGATAGATTTGATCTTCTTGCAGTCCATGGGACTCTCAAGAGTCTCCTCCAGCACCAGAATTCAAAAGCATCAATTCTTCGGCTATCAGCCTTCTTTATGGTCCATGGCCACCATGGTAGCAATGACCAAAAGCTGCGGTTTGACTTGCTGGGTCACAAATTGTGCATAACTGTCACCAGCCCATTGAACCCCCTTCAAGTCTGATCAGGAATATACTGTAGGAAGCCACTTCTTAACAAGTCAGATTGTTGGTCCATCTAGCTCAGCACTGTTTCCGCTCACCAGCAAAGGGTCTCCTAGATTTCAGGCAGAGAGTCTCTCCCAATTCTACCTGACGATGCCTTCTGCATGCAGAGCAGATGCCCTGGCACAGAGCTTTGAGCCTTCCTTTTCGATCCACACATGTTACAAGGCATTAACCCTAATATTGGAGGGGAGACACCTGAGCTATTTACTAGTGAGGAGCACTTGAGATGTTGTGTATCTGCTAACCACCACAGATCCTTTCAGGCCAAATCAGTTCCTGTTAGCATTGCTTTTCTAGCTGAGGTACCCTTGACACACACACACACACACACACACATGCAAACATATGCCTGTGAGTAGGCATCATGACAACATCATCACATGTTTTGGGTGAATTTGGTATATGCCTGCAACAAAAACGCTACGATCACTTCATAGATCAATTTTGATAACCAGAGCATGTGCAGGTAGGAAACGACAGAAATGGGGACACAGGTCCAGCCACTGTTTCATTCCAGGTGTACAGAGGGCGAGAGGCACGTCTTTGCCCTTGCAAAATATTTGATGCCCTCCTGTAACTGTGTCCCACTCTTTGACTAGGAAGGTTGTCTACGTTGGACCCAAGCACTACAGGTCTTCCCCATCCCTGCAGTGCTAAAGCAGGCATGTAGGCACAAAGGACCACTAATGGTTCAATCCTGTGTGTGTCTATTTAGAAGTCGCATTGAGCTGAGTGGAACTTGCTTTCAGGAAATTGTGTCTAGGGTTGCAGCCTCGAGCTGCAATTCTGGGCATCCTTGCTGGGACTATACCCCATTCAACCCATTGGGACTCGTTTCCAATTGAACATGCGTAGAATTGGACTACAAATTTCTGTCCATCTTAGGACCAAGTCTCATTGGCAAACCATCTTTATATTGCATTTCAAGCTAGTGCCAGCATTTAACAACTGGGCTGCAAAACCCTCCCCATTTATGTTCCTCCTCTCTCTCCTCCCCACCCCATTTAAATGTTCTGAAAACAAAAGATATATCACTTGCCATGCAATGAATGGGCCACACTGAAGCCATAGACTTTTAGCCGGTATCCCAAACTTTCACAGCAGCCTGCATGGGATAGCTCTTGAGGGTGTTGCTTTCCCACGAGAATTTGCAAAACGGAACACAAAAATGAAGTGAGGAGATGCTGAGGCCCACATAATCTAGCTTGACAAATATCTAGCACACACTGCACCACAGTCTCAACCCAACCCTGTTCTCTCTAGATTCCATTAGAAACTGCTGTAATATTCGGGGCTCAAAGGCGTCATTCATACAAGAGCAAGCTGATGCTGTTAGATGACCACACAGATGAGTGTTTTCCGTGTCGCATAGCCTGTCCATACAATTAAAAAGCCACTGACAGAAATAGTAATATAAAGGAATGTACTACATGTAGGTTGCCCAGGATTTAATTTTTAGGACTCAAGGCTGCACAACACTACACAATCTTTGGACGATGTTCTTTTTTAATATAAAAACAAAAAATCACCCCATCCCTTCCATTTCCTTAGTTGAGATGTTTTAAATTCCCAAAACACATCTGTGAGACCCAAGTGT